CAGCAGTGCAGGAGAATTCCTTTTTCTCCACAACCTCGCCAACATTTGTTGTTGCTAGTTTTTTTAATATGTGCCATTCTCACTGGTGTAAGATGGTATCTCATGGTCGTTTTGATTTGCGTTTCCCTGATTACAAGTGATGTTGGTTCTTTGAAAACATAAATAAAATAGACAAACCCCTAGCCAGGCTCACAAAGGAAAAACAGGAGAAAGCACAAATAAATAGGATCACCAGTGAAAGAGGAGAAATCACAACAGACACATCAGAAATCAAAAGAATAATCAGAAACTACTATGAACTGTTATATGCAAACAAGTTCAACAATCTAGAAGAGATGGACAAATTCCTACAACTCTACAATCACCCAAAGCTAGATAAAGAGGAAATAGAACACCTAAACAGACCAATTACAAGCAGCAAAATTGAAATGGTAATCAAAAACCTCCCCAAAAACAAAAGCCCAGGACCTGATGGATTCACGAATGAATTCTACCAAACATTCAGAAATGAATTAGTGCCTATCCTTCACAAGTCCTGTATTATTGTGGCAGATTCCTTATCCCAGTCTGTGACTTACTTATTTCTTTTTTTTTTAATAGAGGCATGTTTTATTTATTTATTTGTTTGTTTGTTTTGTTTATACATGCACTGGGTACAGTCAGAAGCGCGGGAGGGTGAGAGAATTCACCAGAGCCAGAGTGGGGAGCAGAGCAGGCAGAAGGACCGAAGTACACTGCTGAGGGGAGCAGCGGGCGGCAGGAGAGGTCTGCGCACCATGTGGGATCCTCCTCCGGTGGCCGGGGAGCAGCCGGGGATTTAACCGGCCCCGCAAAGGCCGCGGACAGCTTCGCAACCCAGCGGTCAAACGCTGTGCCACTGGGGAGGCCCCTACTTATTTCTTAATGGTGTCATCAAAGACTAATCCTGCAGGTACCAACCAAAATTTTATTAAAGCTTATGCAATTTAGCATAAGGGAGTCAGCATCAGGGACAGGGTCTATATAGAAGCTGCTCCTTGAAAAACAGTTGAAGGCTCTATTTAAGCAGTTTTAACCCAGCCTAATTATAGGCCTGGGTCCTTTCTTTGCTGTTCTTTCAATGAGGACTTTCCATTGCTGAAATTGGTAATCTCCTACCTATGACCTGTTCATGATGGATTCCTTATTATTAGTCTAGAGTGTTGTTAGCCTAAAGGGATTGTTAGTGGTGAAAAATTTATCTCATGTAAAGTATGTATTGGGGAAGGGGTGTCTTCATATAAATAAGGACAGTCACCATCACAGTGTGGTGGGTGACCTTGCCTCACATCTTCAGTGGAGAAAATGCTACTTTTTACTTTTTAATGATTTGGTTGGCCTCAACCTGAATTAAAATCTAGAATCTTGGAGTTTAATGATTCTCCTGCCTAACACACGTTTACATAAAAAATACAGATATATTTGTGTTTAAAATATACTTTCTTTGTATGTGTCATATAACAGATTCTTGTTAGCTTTCTTTTCTTGCATTTCATATAAATATTAAGGCACTAGATGATATAGAGGCATTGTCGTCTTATTTTCAAATAGCTGTTTTCAAAAGACCATAAGTTGGCACTGTGTTGAAATATTGCAGGTGATATGAGGAAAGCATTGTTTATGCATGCACAGAAAGGATATTCCTTGTAGGAATAGTGAAGGTCAACAGAATAGCTACAAAAGACCCAAAGAACGCTCCTTATTACTTGAGGCTTTAAACTTAATGAAAGCAAAAACAGTATCTGTTTGACTTACTATCTGTTTTATTTTGCAAAACATAGCATGGTAATTTTTGTTTGAATAACTGATTAATAACTGAATATAAGAATAGACTGTACCTGTGGTGTATTTCAAATAAGAACACAGTGGAGTCAAAATCTTTATTTCCTAGACTTGTCCTGATGCTTTAAAGCATGAACTCAAGGAAGTACTACACATTTTGAGTGCCAACTTGCACATCATTGGGTTATGATGAATGTTAATAATATGGTGTCAGATCATTTTGAAGCTACACATTTTTAGATACATGGTATGTTATTATTAACTACTATACACAGTAGCATTTTAAGACATCTATCAAAACCCATTTATAGTATTACAGAACTAAAAACAAAAATCTTTCTCTTTGATGTTGAAATGTATATTAATGTTTAGGTTTTTGATCATGAGGTTTTTTTAGAGGGCAAAAATATTGTACCTTTTTCACTTTTGTTATTTTAAGTATGAGTATATTATAAAACTTTTGCCAATCCTCCAACCCCAGCCTCAGTTTAGCAGGTATGAGAATAAGGTTATCTGTATAGACTTAAATTCAGAACAGATCCATCATATAGCCTCTGCTGGAATCTGCTGCCTGAAAGTACCCAGCCAGTCAACCCACAGTAATGACTAGGGCACCATATGATTTTAGCAGTGGGTATCTAGCATTTTCATCTCCTCAGTATATTATTTAGAAATCAGGGAAGTCATTACATTTCAGGATTTGCCTTCCTCTCTCCTTAGAGAGCATCATCATATTTTTACATTTTTTAGCAACTTATTGTTCCTGCTAAAACAAAATAAAAAAGACACACTAGAGCGCATTTGAAAGCAGGATGCTTCTGTGTTCTTCAACTATAAAAAAAATACTGACTTCTCAGTCAATTGTTTTGTTACTGTCTGTACCCTTCTTTACTCTTCTTTAGTTGTTGATTATCTGGTGTGAGAATTCACCAGTTTCTTGGTTTTTATTTTGTATTCCATCCTGCTGTTAACCTTTTGGGCAATTCACTACTTTCTAGAGTATCAGTTACAGAGAGGAAAGTAAAAATTGAAGTTACCCCTAAGTTTATATGTTTTTGATGTAACTGTTCTGTAGTGGTGAAAATGGAAATTAATTTTATGGTTACTTGTGAATTTACCATTATTATTCTGTTATTTATAAATAAATAAATTAATTAGTTTTCCTTACATCATTGTAGTCCCCAATAGTTCTCCTGCCACCTTACCACCTGTGAGTCATCACCATACTTCCTTGTGTTCTTCCCTCCCCTGTTTTGCCCCTGCTCCTATTCCCTCCTTTGCTGTATGTCTCAGTTCTATGGTCAGCTTGCTAATTTTGACTTTTCTTGACCTTTTGTTTGGTTTCTCTATATTCCACATATAAGGAGACCATCTGATATTTGTCTTTGTCCTTCTGACTAATTTCAGCTAGCATAATCTCTTCCAGTTCCATCCATGTTGCTGCAAATGGCATGAATATATCTTTTTTGATTGTTGAGTAATATTCCATTCTGTTCCATTCCTCCTGGAGAATGATCCATGTGAATTTGAAAAAAAGGGTGTATTTAGATTTTGGGGGTGCAGTGTCATGTAGATGTTTATTAGATCCATGTGATCTAGATCTTCATTTAGGGCTATTATGTCCTTGTGTAATTTCTTGTGGATCTGTTTCTTGGTGAGAGTGAGGTGTGGAAGTCTCCTATCACATATGTATTTTCTCCAGTGTCTGTTTTCAGAAGTGATAGTAATTGTCTAATGTATTTTGCTGCTCCTTCATTTGGTGAGTATATATTGATGTATTTTTGGTGTATTTTTGGTGTATTGTCTCATTGATCATTATATAGTGTCTTTCAGTATCTCTTGTCACATTTTTTAGTTTGAAGTCTGTGTTATCTGCTATGTAATTATGACTACCCCTGCTTTCTTTTGGGGTCCATTTGGTTGTAGAATTGTTTTCCAACCTTTTCTTTTCAATCTATGCTTATCTTTATAGCTTAAGTGTATTTCCTGGAGGCAGCAGAAGGTTGAATTCTATTTTTTGATCCAGTATGCTATTATGTGTCTTTTTGTTAGTGAATTTAGTCCATTAACATTTAGGGTGATTATTGATACATGAAAGTTACCATTATTGGGGCCTCCCTGGTGGTGCAGAGGTTGAATGCAGTGCTTTAAAGGTATCTGAAGCCTTTGCAGCAGGGGTTCAATTCCTGGCCAGCCAGGGAGATACCCACATGGTGCGGCAGACCTCTCCTGTCTTAACTGCTGCTCCCCTCAGCAGGGTTTCAGTCCGTCTGCCTGTTCTGCTCCCCTCTCTGTCTCTGGTGAATTCTCTCAACTGCCTGTGCCCTGTACCTCAGTTCTTGTATAAATAAATAAATCTTTTAAAAAAAAGAAAGTTACCATTATTATTCTTAAGTAAATACTTTTTTTCTTTTTAAAAAATTTATTTATTTATACAAGACCTGGGGTATAGTCAGAGGTGCAGGAGGGTGAGCGAATTCACCAGAGACAGAGCAGGGAGCAGAACAGGCAGACGGACCGAAGCCACTGCTGAGGGGAGCAGTGAGCAAGGCAGGAGAGGTCTGCAGTGCTGTTTTGGTTTCTCCATGACTGGGGGGGGGGGGAATCAGAGGCTGCGGACAGCTTCACAGCTTGGTGCTCAACCTGCTGCGCAATTGGGGAGGTCCCTTATTTTCTTTTTAAACTTACTGTATTTTGCATAATCTTTAGCATGTTCTAATAGGAGTTTGGAAATGTATCAAACACATTAAAAACTGTATATTCCTGTATTGAAAGTTCAATAAAATATATTAGTGTTAGTTTGTATACCATAAAATATAATGCATAGGCATTATTATCATCCTTGTTTTCCTGACTAGGCAACTAAAGTTTGGTTGTAATTCTTATTTGGTTTTATTGGACCTTCACCACATGCTACATATACATATAGCATCCCAATTTGCCAAAGACACTTGTACAACAAATGAATCTGCTGGATTATAAGGATGTGGAAAAGCTGCTCATACCACAGGTTGGACTACCTTGCCTACTTTCATTCTGATCTGCATTTAGAATTAGAAGCCTTACAGATCGTGAATGCTGAGCCAACAAGTATGAATAATTACAAATGTCACTGTCAGAGCTCATACTATTTAAACACATGTATCACTGAACTGCATGAACTTCTATAAACACCCAGGTTTCTTAATTTTTATTATCAGGCAACCTTGGACGGGTGGACCAGGTCTCTGAGTTTGAGTATGATCTGTTCATTCGGCCGGATACCTGTAATCCACGCTTTCGAGTCTGGTTCAACTTTACTGTTGAAAATGTGAAAGAATCACAGGTGAGGAAAATAGTGGATAATCCAGTTTTTTTTTTTAGGAAGAATACCAAAATAATGACCACATTAAGAATATATTTTGTGTATCTGTAGCAATGATTTTTTTCTAAGACATAGAGTTAGGTATAATATGACTTTTGTTATCTGATGGTTATTTAATAATATAGATAATCTGAGAACAAAAGTTCTTTACTAAATGGAGCTTTAGCATGATGTTTTAGGCATCCTTGCATACACTCTAAGGAACCACTAGTAACTATTATATTTACTATAGACTACTGTTTTCTATATTATTTCTTCTTTATAAAGACCTGTGATGGACATTTCTCATCTTAGTGTCAGAAAATGTTTTTCTTTTCCTATATAAGAAAATGTTTATATCTTAAAAGCACTATGATTCTTGTAACCCATTCTATTTTCCCTTGCTTTGGCTGCTGAGAAATTCAGTTTTACAGTTCTCTCTAATGATTCTAGAAAACTTTTATGTTGTGTTTCTATGAACTAACTTTTATTTCAAAACTGTTAATCTGTCTTTAACCATAATTTCTTCATCTACATTTTGACAGTTTATGTTTTGTAATTCTGTTCATAACTGTTTCTAATGAGAGTAGTGATTAAAATAAAAATAACTAAATACATATGCTTTGAACAAGCATTAATAAAAATCTAATCCTAAGAAATCAAGCAGATGAAAGTATAACCCTATAATCTAACATCTGCCTTTTTTCTTCAGAATTGTCTTTGCTATTATATTTGGGAGAAAGTGAGGAGTTTAATTTCCCCTCCAAGTCAGTCTGTCCTGTTTACTCTTTTATCTGGTTATTTGCTTCTCTCCTTATCTCTAACTGCAACTGGAGTCAAGTATAAGGCAGTGGTCAGTGTCTGGAATTTAGACCCTGAGGGTTTTCTTGGCAGGCTGACTTCAGCAAAGGGGTCCAGCAACAGCCACATCACATTGCTACAGATTCTCTTTATTATCTGTATCACTGACAGATAATGTAATGTTTACTGAAGTTTAGGGGGTAATGGGAAAGAATTAAATGTATGGCAGAGCTCTCAGCATTGTTAGTGAATATGATTTATCTCAGAATTTTAAGAAAAGTTGGAAAAAAGAAACCTACAAAGAGAGCTGCTTAAGGACGAACTTTACTTCCTAGCTTTCTTTGCTTTTTGGTTATGCTTAATCTCCTATGAGAGAATTTTTTTTTTCTCTTTTATGTATGGGTGCTTTGGTGGTGGATATGTTGTGGTAACATACATCTGAAGAGGTGTAAATCTCTACCTCTTGGGTTGTAAATGAGTGTTGTCTCAAAAAAAAAAAAAAAAAAAAAAAAAAGGATAACAATATCCCTTCCTTCTGCCCTCCTTAGAAAAACTTACTCTTTACCTATAGGGAATTCACCTGACCCTAGGATTATCCCTCTTGTTCCACTAAGATAATCAATAAATCTCACATTGCATTTTCCAAAGTCTTTGTTACTGAGTCTTAAGAGTATAACTCACAACTAGAGGCTCTAGCCACATATAGTAGACCAAATCTTTGTACTGGAAATTTGGCCCCCATGAGGAATTTTCTGTTTCCATGAGGTAAACACACAACCTCTCATTCTTCTGTTGGGGTTTCTGTTTCATCTACATAACTTGCAGTTGTCACATTCACACACTCTTGAAAGACAAACCATAATTCTGAAGTGGTATAGTCAATTTATATGAAGGAAGGAAAACATTTTCATAAAAGCAATGTAATCTGCCAGGACTTTTAAATCCCCAAAAGGAATTCCAATAAGAGAGTTGACACTGTTTCATGGATGCTTATTTTTAAAGTTGGAAGATTCAATATTTGGTCTATCTTTTTGGGTTCTAATATCATATCCAGCATTATCCTTTTCTAGTTGCAGTTAGAAATCATGAACATGTTTATCTAGTTTCCTGAAGCCTGATGCTAATTTATCAGCCTCTTTCTATGAACCATTTCTTCATCAACTGTAATCAAATTATATAGTTATGGAAATCTGTCTCAAGAAGGCATAAAGATCTGCTGGAAAGATACAATATGTGTCTGTAGCTCACAGGATATTTGTTTTCATGGTTGTCTACATGAAAGAGAATGGTTTTACTATTAAGTTTGACTTGTGAGGTCTGTTTTTGTAATGTCTTTTCCTATAATCTTTTCCCATCTCTCCAATTTCCGTTAAAATGAGACCAGTATGAATGTAATCTAGTCAGGAACCTTATTTATGGTTTGGTACTAGCAGGCAAAAGAAATATTAGTCATCAAAGGCTGATTCCATTAAATGAATGTTAAAAATTGCAGCATCAAATATACTACTGTATAAATAGATCTTGCTTTTGGGTTACTTGATGTTTTTAGGAAGTGATAAAAGTTTGGAACATATGGTACTATATTCCAGGACTGACATATTAACCCCTAAAGTTATTGTGAAATAGTGCATTTGCAAGAGTCTATGAAAACTAAACTTCCCAGTACCTTTATTGAAAAGTAATTTTCTCTCTGAAAAACCAGCATTAAATTTTCTTAGGAAGAAATTTATTATTGATACAGCATAACCCTGTGTGATGTGAAAGCTAATCTTCCTATTTAAATGCTCAGATAAAACTTGAACCAATAAGAGGAAATAAAATGGTATGCCTGGGTTATTTAAATTGTTTTCTTTCCTCTATAATCTTTTTATCTCTTTAGATTTATTTTTTCTCTTTTCTCATTGTAAAAGGGGACAATGCTCAATATAGTGAATATGAAAAATATAATTATTGGAAGCAGAGAAAATACACACACATATACATATCCAAATCTTACAACCTAGAAACAAATACTAATAACTTTTGTTAATTTATTTATATTTATTTTCTATTTTATCTTTTGCAGCATATTAAGTTTGCATGATACATACATTTCTATGTATTGCTTTTAAAGAAAGTTAACAATATCGCGAGCAATTATGTATCAGTAAAAACTTAACAAATAGCTGTACAATAGCAATTTTTACAGTGGGCCATTTTCTTACTTTTGAATATAAAAATTTCCTTCTACTATATGTTGTAAATAATACTGTAGTGAACATCTTTATGCATGAACTGTTATCTACAATTTTAAAGATAACCTTGTATGAGAGGATTGATGGACAAATAATATGAATATTATAAAAACTCTTGATATGTGTTAATTTATACTAGTTTGATATCCTCTCAACATAAATGAGATACTTTTTTTTTAATCCTTATTTTGAATTGTTTGAGGAATTCAGATATTTATACATTTAGAATACATTATTTCTTTTTCCTTTGAAACTTTACAAAAAATAAATGGGCTACAATGCAATGATTCATACTTTGTGATAAAGGAATTAAATGGGAAACTTTAGAAAATTTTTTTGAACATCAAAGTATTTCTTAATGTTACTTAAACACACACAAACATACATATACATACATTTATATCTGACATGCTTTAATTGGATTTTAAGATTATAAGAGAATTTGCTCCTTTTATAGTGTTTATCTTGGAGATTTCAGGAATAGACTGAAACTTCAGTGAAACATCATTCCAGCCATGGCCAAAATCAACAGTCCACAGAGGCAGCATTTCACACTAGAAAGAGCAAAGACAATGGATTCAAGTAGATTTGATTTTATGTTGTGACTCTGATGTATATGAGCTCTTTTACTCTTGATCAGTTAATATAATTTTTTGTTACTTAAGTTTTCTCATCTTTAAGATGAAGATAATACTACTAGCTCGTATGGATGTTGTGAAAATTAAATGAGACAATGTATGTAAAGAGTCTACCATGTTAGATAGCTATCAATACTTGATGGCTATTGTAAAATACCAGAACAATAGTAGTAATACTAACAAAAACAAACAAAAAACTACCAGAACCAATTTATTTTAAGATTACTACTACTGGTTTTCATTCAATTCATATCCTTTCTCTTCATCCTTCTGCTTGTCATCCCTACCTTCTCTACTGCTTTCAAATCTAATATTGTTCATTTTCATTATCATCATGTATCAAGCAAATTTTAATGGTAAGAATATGGACTCTTTGTCAGACATGCTTGAATTCCAGGTTCAATTCTCCTGTTAGTATTTCTATGACCTGACTAATTTATTGTTTTATTTATCTATTTAAATAATCAATTCATATCTATTTAATTGGATTAACAGTAGTATCTAACAAAGTTGATGTCAAAATTACAAGTGATGATGCATATAAAACACTTAATCTAGTGCCTGGCACATAGGAAATGGTCAATGGATGTTAGCTATTAATATGACTGTATTTCTTATACTATTTCTACAAAATAGAAAATAGGTTCTCATTTTCTTTGTCATTCAATTCATTATAGAAATAACTAACATTTATTGAGTATTTACATGTTACAGGTACTGTTATAAATTCTGCATATCAGTTTATTTACTCTTCAAAACAATCCTTTGAGGCTTGTGCTACTATTACTGTATTCTCATTTTACAGATAGGGAAATTGAAAGAGATACAACAGTGTACTTAACTGCTTCAGCTGTCATAATTATTAAGTGTTAGCGCCAGGATTTGTATACAAGTAGCCACTGTAGAAATACTCGCCTAGAAGATTTGGAAAGTATAAATAAGTATTGGGAACAGAAAGAAAAAAACAACCAACCCAGATGCATACTCATAATACTAAAAAGGAATTACTGTGAATTTTTTGGTATATTTATTTTTAGAGTTATTTGCTTTCTTTAATTTTTAAGCATAATTTTTTTTCTGTCTCTGGAGCTCACTCACCTTATTTCTGTATAGTGCTGCCTCTCACAATATTATCATAATAGATATAGGAAAACCAGTAGCTAAAATTCAAACTAAGACTCATCCCAAACTAGGATGAGAAAGGAACTCCCTCATCTGATAATGGAGCAAGACAATCAAGAGCAATCATACATAGTAGTGAAAATTTTAAAACATAACTTTAAAGTCAGGAACAAGACAAGGATGATCT